CATCTGGCAGAAGTGGGGAAACCTTTCCACTTCCACCGATGGCGCAACAGCCACAAGACCAAGACCCACAATAAAACCTGTTGGCTCTTATCTTTATTTGCTTGGCATATTTAATTTCGTTGATAGCTTTAAGGAAGTTTAGATTAGATAACCCCCGACAATTCGGTTTCATTTTGTTGCGTGTAATTCGAATTTAATAAGCTGAAACATGCTTGTAAAGTCACGAAAGATCAAAGAGTACTTAGTTTATAGATCGATATATGGTTTTTTTTATGATAGGGAACAAGTTCCATTTAGAGGACTCACGGGTTGTGTTCACAGAATTAATGACATCCCCATTCGTGGGACGAGCCCCCGAAAAAACAAGTCTATAAAAATACAAATTAGCTTAGTTGTTTCGATTTAACTTTAGATTGTGTTGCTAAGCTGAAAAAAGCACAATATCATGAATCGAAATAAGTTTTTGGCTTTATCAACTGTGGTGCGAATCTTCTATGAGGCTCGGCAACTGGAATCTATAAACAAAAATACAATGAGTTTACGAATTTGCAAATTACAAATCATTAATCTGACTGGTATTTATTTTTAGTAGAAAATTGTCTGGGCTTATAGTACATTTCCATGCTTCGATAAAGGCAAGAAATGTATATTCTAAAGGTAAACATGTAAACAACCTAAAAATATCTTGTTTTGGTGGGGTTTTTAATTTATAGTTCTTTAAGAAAAAAAGAGCTATTTGTTTTCTTAAAAAAGAAATTATAAATTCCTAAATGCGAAGGCTCTTAGAGTCTTTATTTCCCCATAAGATATGTATATATATTAAATGTCTTGAAAGAATATAAAATATAAAGATCATATTCTTAAAAACATAATTAACGGCATCTAAAGGGTATCTTCGATTCGGAACTCGGTGACTTTGGCCTTCTGTTAAGCCGCAAAATCGAATCGAACCAAACTGCGAACCAGAGTCAAGCTGGAAATGGGGGCTTTTGCTGACTTGACTGTACCCAAACCGCTTGACGACAGCGATGACGACGAAGCCCTCTCTATTTCTTTTCGCTTATGTTTACCATAAAAAACATAAAAATACAAAAAAAAACAGCCGAGTGGAGAACACAAACAGCGAATAGTAGAAGCAGAAATGTGAAATGCCAGAAGTCCGGCAGCAACCGGCTTTATCAGGGGACTTGTTTTCGTTTTTGTGTGTGTTTTTCGGCTAGAAGCATTTGAAAACTCATAAAGAATAAACCCAGAAAATGAATCTATTAATGTCCGTCTGTACCGCTGCCTCAGGCGCTTATACAATCAGTGTGCGATAACAACACATTTGGGGGGCTCGATCGTGTGTATATAGCCACGTCTATATCGCCTATATGTATCTATCATCCCCCCATTGGCAACAGGCGGTGGGGCGATCTTTCCACTTTCGGCACAGGCCAAACCGGTTGCCTCAGCTGGTCAGCTGACCAGCAAATTCTTCGCCATATGATTAGAATGCCGAGTGCAAAAGCTGTGAAATCTCTTTTCCAAAGGGGCCTTGACGCCCTGCCAAGAACCGCAATCTCTATGTTGGGATAAGATATGAACGGAAGTGACGCATATGGGAGGAACGCACACCCCCAGCTGAGATCAGGTGTTCCATCGTGATCAACTTCTTAACAACTTGGTTAAACTAGATCTTGATCTTTAGGGGTAAAGCCTATCCCCTTGAGTGAGACACGATTGACACAGATTTTTGCATATAGTACATTGTAGGAGAGAACGACGTTTCGAGTACAACTCTCGAGGGGAAACGCATTTGTCAATAAGATAACTGCCAAGTACTTGTGGGAAATGCTATTTACTCGACAATGTTTGCTTGTGTGTGCACACACTTGTCGTGACAACTGTACGTATTTACATATATAGGGGCGATAGGGCGGAAGGTTTTACACTATCAGTACTGTTGAACTGTCGCCCAGCCCGAAGTATTTATATTTTGCTGATTCCCTGGGCTTGTTCATCGCTTATGATGACTTGTCGTGGGGCAATTAGTGCTCGAACCCCTTGATTCAGTTCATTGGCATAGAAAGTGTACTCTAGACCAGATCGAATCAGTTTTGAATAGTCTCTTTTAATGGATACAGTGGGCTGTGTACAGCTTGTGACTGTGATGCGTCATATTTACTCTCTTCAATGGGGTTTTTTTCGGCACAACGTGACTGTCACGTGAACAAAAGCCCAGATCTGATGGATCAGACACCCCGAGAGCAAATTGAAACCAGTTTTGCAGACGCCACACAAAAAACAGCTTTCAGAATTGAAATAAAACGAAACGAAGTTCGCGGCGTGGAGGCTTTCAAAAAGGCAATTTAGCCGAAATTCGAGACCAGAGACCGGAGACCGGAGAATGAGGGGACTCTGAATGTGCTCAGAATGTATTAAACAATTAACAGTTAACTGGCAGATGCATCAGCAGAAATTAGCATTAATTAGAGCATGGCCAGTGCCAAAATGGTAGCCATTAAACACCGAGACCCCTGTGTACTAAGTAAATAAACAAACTAGCCAACTTTTAGCACCTCCAAAATAGTAGCAAAAGTCATATTTAAGTGAATCATTAACAAGACTCTCCTAGTAACAGTCTGTTTACAACTATTGGGACCAATGCCATAGACCACATGATCCCCGGAATCGAATCGGGAATTGAAAACAAGATCGTAAAGGCCGAACTAAGGAGCGTGGCAATAATCGTAAACAACAAATTGTTGGTAAGGGGCAGGGCATTTTTCGGCTGTTTTTTGTTTTTCTATTTTTGCGCATAGCCAAGGTCAAAAGATAAGCTTTCGTTGTCAAGTATTTTTCACTATTTTTTTTTGGCATTTGATAAGCAAACTGAAATGATTCTATTATTAATTATGCGAGACACTGTACAGAACACCAAAATTCGGAGCAAACACTTCCCTGACAACAAGGAGGGCGTACTTTATGGATTTTATTTTCTGGCCCCACTGTGCGGCAACGTCGACGCCGTTCTCATTTCAATTAGAAAGCAAAACAATATATAGAGGCACAAGCACAAAGTTTCATTAAAAATAGCAACCGAGCCAAAGGAAAAACATAAAACAAACACGGACGATAGCGCAGACATCAGAATGAAATCGAAATAAATTTGCCAGCTCAAAATTATAAAAATGTGCGAAAAACAAGGCGACCAACGGAGACATCTGTGTCTTTTTTTTAAGGAAAGGTGCTAGTGGCACACTTGAAGGGTTTGGAAATCAAATGGAGGCACGTGTAACTGCGTTCTGACCCTTATGCAACCCCAGAAAAGGAGGCAATGCCCGCCCACTGGGAGGGAGGCCGGTCACAATAACGTAAACAAAACAGGCGGCAGAACATGCGCAAAGCCAAGGGGAAGGGGATTTGTCTACTCTCGGCTGTTACATAACTCGGAAAAGGAAAATGCCAAGACATAATGGGCAAAAAAACTAAACGAAAAATCGATTTTGCAATGAGCAACAAACTGCTGTTTTGGGTATATGGAAATTGAGCTTAAGTAGACATATTTATGGCCAGAGAATAAAGTATTATTCAATGTGTTTTGTTCGGGAAAAAAGCTCGAAAGTTGAGGAATTTTTAAACATATTGTATAGTTTGTTTGCTTTTAAATATCTCACAAAAAAGAGACTAAATTTTGGCTTTAAATATGTAAAGGGGAAGTCCCCTTCCCTACAATTAAAACTGCCGAAAAAAAACAAGCTTATTTTGGAAACCACTTTTGAGTACTTGCCTCCCTTGGTGGGCGTCTTGTGGGTGCTGTGCTGGGCCCTGTAGCCGGTGATCATCTCGTAGTTGCCGGCATCACGGCGCAGGGGGAAGGCGATCTCGATGATGTGGTCGCAGGGCTGCATCAGCATGAGGATGCCCTTAACCTTCTGCTTCTTCTCGTCGCGGGTCATCTTGCCCTTCATGTCATCCACCAGCGACTCCTCGGCGATTTGGCAGCCACGGTGGAAGAAGTACTCGACCATGTCGAAGAAGCGGGGATCCTTGGCAGTGGGCACATCCTTGAGGCGGTCGGGAATCTGGTGCTCGGAGGCATAGCCGCGCGAGTGCATCACGGCGGTGGGCAGGGCCTTGGCCAGCGTGGTCAGCTCCTGCTGGCGCATGGCGCCCTGGCGGGCCAGACTCTTCAGGTGATACATGCTGCTCTTCTGGGTTCTAACTGGGTTCCTCCTGCTATCTGCTGTGTTGGCTCCGCTGCTCAACAACCGCTCACTACTCGACGCCGCACCGAATTGAACGATTTCGGCCTTTTTCTCGCCATTTCTTTCATTTCCACTCGCCCTGCGCCGACGTCGCCAGAGCTTTCGGTCACTTAGTGGGAGAACGCGTCGCTCATTAAGCTCAAGAGTAGGGTTGCCAGGTGTTTGAAAAATATCGCGCAAATTTTTGGAAGTTGAAAAGATATTTTATCTTTAAAATATCTGCATAAATATAATACAGTTTATATTGATAAATTCTTTAAAGTGAAGTGATTTTAAACTTACTAAATTATAAATTAAAATACAATTTTTAAATTAGTGCTTTAAAGCTGCACCAGTGCCCGCTTGAAACGCCTGATGTCGGATATTCGTTGCCAGGGAGAGATAAGAAGGCGACAGGTGTTATCGGTCTACGTTCACGTTTTTCTTTGACACGCAGATTAGACTTGGATTTATTATCTGGAGCAGAGTGTCAAAAGTTGGTAATTGATATGGATTTAGGTATTGCTTAATAAGAGAGAAATACATCAACACAGGAAGTTATTAGCTTCGTTTAAATAATATATTTCACTTTCCATGAACGTAACGTTGTTTTCAATTCAAATTGCGATAGCTCCCACTTCTTCAGTGTTGGTAAAGTTCGGAGCAAATAGCTTTGCGACAGTGTTGATCAACTCACGCATTAAGCTCAAAATTGTTCCCAAGACCGGAACCAGTTCCCAACAGTCAAAATTCAAATTCAAAAAGGCAACCTTTAGTTTACTTAAAAACAAACAAAATCTTGTGGACTATATTTGAAGAACATAATTATAAACGAAGTTATGCATGTACTGTGCTGTTTCGGTCGTGGTAAATGTTGCTAAGCGAGGACCGAATGAATGCGTCGCTTCGCTCCACGAAGCCATCCAAGTGGGACCACAGGAACCAGAAGAGCAGGCCCCAGAACAGCACCTTGCTCACCCAATCCAGGATGTAGAGGCGCCGCAGTACCTTACGAGCATGGGGCAGGGTGGCCTCGCTCTCGCCCAGAATGTAGGTTCGCATGCCCACGATGTAGTTGCTGATGTACGTTTCCCAGTTCACCTGACTCACTGAGGTGTCGAAATAGACCTGGTCGACGTTGTTCAGCTGACTACTCATCTCCTGAAAGCGCTCATTCCGGAACTCCCACTCCTTGGTTGTGTAATACTGCAGCAGCTTTAGGCCCATCGATACCTTGCGTTGCACGTTCACCAAACTGAAAGGAAAGGACCACTGTTTACTAATCCCATTTAGCTCATAAAGATTCCACTTACAATGGCTTGTGACCGAAGATGAGCAGCCAAAAGTCGATAAAGTAGGCGGGCAGATAGTGAAAGAAAATCACGCAGAAGAGGTGATGGTAGTAGTTCTTCTTTATCGATCCGCCCGGATACCAAAGTGCAAAGCTAAGTGGCGTCTTGTAGAAGAAGCGGCGTCCCGTCTCGATGCTATCGCCCCAGGACATGAGGGCCTTGCTGGAGATGCACAGGTTGCAGAACTCCACGCCGGTTTGCTTCTCACCCTTCTCTTCGCTGGCCTTGCCCCGCTGATAGCCGCACAGGATCATGCCATTGATGGCCTTGTCCACCGGTATCACTGTGGAGGCATATTCCGGGTTGCAGTGCATCGACCGGATCACACCGCGTGCGGCACCAATCATGAGGCCAGTGGGTCCATTCACTCCCTCAATCCAGCCGGGCAATGGCTCGTGGATAGCGGCCGTCACTACAAATGGTTTTATTTTCATTTTTTGTTAATAAAGCAATTAACCAGACCAGATACTTGGCTACGTACCGATCGAGGGCCGTGTGATGATTATGGGCAGCTTATTGTTGTATCTGCAAATTAAATCTTCCGACAGTGCCTTGCTGTAAGCGTACGTGTTCGGTAAGCCATTTAATAATCTGGAAAAAAGAGTCCAAAGAACTGGTTATTGAGTGCCAAGGTGCAAGGAAAATGACTAGTTGTTTATTCTGCATAATATTTCATTGAGAATTATAAGTATTTTGTTCTAAAAAGAATGTCTGAGTTTTAAATGTAGCTAATTATATTTTATATTATAACGTATAATATTTATTTGTATTAAAAAGCCACTTACTTGGGAGTTATCTCTGCGAGCGCAGCATCGTCCATCGTCTCTACCATTTCGATAATGGAAAATGGATTCTGTGGAGCCGGATAGGCGCGTTCCTCCAGCACACTCTCGTTGCACTGGCAATAGGAGGTGGACACATGGACCAGTGCCTGCAGGTGGCTCATACGCTCGGCCAGGCGAAGTACCTTCAGGGTGCCCACCACATTCATCATGACCATCGGCCGCAGCGGCTGGTCGAAGCGCACATTGGCCGCACAGTGGAACACCACCTCGACGTTGGAGGCAAGTGTGTTGGTGTCATTGGCGCTCAGGCCAAGGTCTGGCTCCAGCAGATCGCCCTTTACGACGCGCACCTTGTCCACGATATCGGGATTCTTCTCCAGCAGCTTGCTAAAGATCTGCAATGGTCAATGGTTAGTGGTTAGTTTGGATTCGAGGGGCGGTACCGCAAGTGAGCTTCATTAGTTAAGTGTCATGGCGTTTGGAATTGCAGCTCGGAGTCGGAGTTTCGGATTCGGACTACGTTGCGGCTGGCTAGAATCGCCTAATGGGCCGTGTCGCAGGTTTAAGCGTCGTCTTAACGTCCAACAATTAAGAGTCATTGTAATTTTTGGATTTTTTCAACCAATAATGATCACCTTGACTTATAAACACCATGGATGTGGTTGTGGCTTTGGCAGCTACTGTGAGTGGGTCGGCTTTGTTGGCTCTACGTACGTAACACCAGATTTCTGTGCGATAATTTTGGTAATTTGGCGGGAATTCGGAGGGCATACTTGGAATATTAGCTGGGCTGCTTCAGTTTCATTTTATGATGCATCATTATACAGAACTTGTAGCTCAGTTTATGTACGAGTTTAGATTTTGTCAAGCTTGGAAACTTGAAGGGGAAATTATGGCTATCGGACGTTGGGCAAGGTCAGTGTAATGACACTAGATGCTAACATACTTCTTATGTTAAATCATAAATTAAGCAGCATTTTAGAGGGAGTATTTAGAGTATTGGAAGAAATAAAGAACACTGCCTTTGTCTCTAACTCTTTAATTCTATTTCTCGGCCTCTCTCTCTCTCTCTCTCTCTCTCTCTCTCTTCCTCACACTCTCTTGCTCCCTCTTTGGCTCCCTCTTTCCCTCCTTCTTTGGCTCGATATGTAAGTCTCTTTCTCTCTGGGCAACTCTTTCTCTATAACTCTCTCTGCCTCTCAAGAGCTAACTCTTTCTCTCTTGCTCTCACTTTCTCTGTTCTCTTTAGTCGGTGACTATAAATACAGGGTACTGCCTACGTACCAACCTCATTCTGTCCGCGGCCTCCCCACTGCTTACATCTCTGGTGATAGTGATAGTGATTGCCCTTCGACCCCAAAAATATCACCTGGCCAATGCAATACGTCTGGATAACCAGGAAGAAGCTGACTTCGATGATTTAATGATATAATTTATAATTTAATTTCAATATACAAGGGTAAATAAACTTAGTTTCCTTTCTTGTTTTTAAATAAAACTTGTAAAGTATATAAATATAATGGCATTTGCCTAATAATTACAAGTTCCAAGCTTTTCTAAAATTTCATATACAAACTTAACTAGGAAGTTGATTGAATTATGAAATAAACAACTCTTCAAGCAGCTTCATCGTGTTTTTTCTAACTAACGCAATAATAATTTCGCAAAGGTCGTGTTGTAATCCATAATTGGTAAATTGAGTTAATAAAAAACCCCGCCAAATCAATATGTTTTCTTGGCTTAAGTATTGTTTTTTTTATAGAAATGCCGAATAGCCGCAGATTATCGTTATTATTTTTAATAACCTGGTATTTACTACATGAAACACCGCTGGTGCGACCCAAAGATTCCCCCAGAGCTTCCCAGAAATTTAATGCACTCAAATGCAGTGAGCATTGTCATTAAGCATACGACACGTGGTACAGCGGAGAGAGGCACTTTAAGTAGACGCTAATTAAGCTACTTATGGGTGGGTCATATTTACGAGTCATAAATAATTGCAATTACAGCACTTAAAAATGGAATGTTTGATTTCCGATTAAGATCGGACAATTCCCATGGATTAAACTCACCACACACTTGAAGTACTGTTCCTTGCGAACACTGGGATCGACTCCCTTCTTGGTGCGTATCAACAAATAGATGACGTTCAGGTCCCCACAGCTACGTAGAAGTTTCTCCACTAGAACTTTGCCCATAAATCCGGTGGCTCCGGTGATAAGGATGGTTTTGTTGGCATAAAACTTGGCAATCTCAGACTCGCCGCATTCGGCATCGCTCCGCAGTATGTCCATAGTTGGTCAGCTATCTGAAATCGGTTAAATTCTTATATTTAAAAAAATATTCTAATTTCAAGCACAACTTTTTCCAAAGTAAAATAAAGAATTCTTTGGCATTTCAGACACAAATTAATAGCTACCTATTAATATCCGCTTTATTGTAAGTATATAATTATAGTCGGCTGATGTATCATTAGATTTTGTAAAGCAATGACCGGAACCGTCGGTACATCCCTCAAGTACTGGGAATTAATTACCGATATTCAAGAATCTAATACTTTATTACGTACTATCTGTAAATGCCCGATTCCCTACGGAATGTTAAGGGCCAACTAAATCTGCATAAATTGGCTTAAGGAAGCGACAATGAGGTGGCGTTACAACCTTTTTATTTTCAAGATCGCATTTGTTGGCCATTTGTTTGTCTAACCTACTCCGGCCAAGATTCTTGTTCAATGTCAGCGCCGGATACTGATGAAATACGATGGCACAGCCGTGCAGAGAGACAACAGTGGACAGTAATGTTGACCAACCGCGTGTAATTGCCGTGGCCAAATGGGATTGGGATTTTCGGAGTTGCTTCCCCACTCCCCCTTGAGTGAAGTACCCCATGCCCATGCTCCGGCATTACACCTTCCCATACACACCTCGCACATCATCATCAACTGTTTATGTTGGTAAACAGCGACAAGTTTAAAGACCTGTTAGCGACCACCGTTTGTCTGTTTGCTTATCACATTTGGAAAGTGTTTACGCCGCAATGGGTTAATGTCTGTCTTATTGCTTTATTTTGTGTGTGTGTTGTTGTTTTATACACATATTGTTTTTTTTTTTGGGTCTTGAGTGTGTGCATTAGGCTTGAGCAATTCGAGTGCGGGTGGAAGACAAAGCAATTAGCCAAGATGCCGTGGGGTTAAAGTGTAGTGTTTACTCCATGCATTAAATACCTCTGCATTGTATTCTCGTTTAATGGCCATTTTAATTAGCGTTTCTTTAAGGGTTTTTAATGCTTCAAGTTAAGGAGCTCATATCTTATATGTAACAGTATTAAAAAAAGTGGAAATCACCTTAGTATTGAAGTTAAAAAAAACAAGAGTTGGGGAAGAATTATGTTACAATAAAGAGTAAGGAAAGTTGAGAATTAAATTAAGGCAAATCCTTAAAACGGGTAATATGTTAGTGATTGATTTCCAAATTTATGTCAAAACGTTAAAGTATATTATGCAGCTATAATGATTGTCAAAACGTTAAAGTAAATTATGCAGCTATAATTATACAAGGTAGATCTGAACATTTTATAAAAACAATTAGTGCATTTCCCAAATTACCTATCGGTAATACCTTTGATTATTTAACAAGGATTTGCTTTTAAAACCATTCGAATTTATTGCTACAAAATATTTCGACATTTTACAAGCTCTAATAAGTTTAAATAAGAATTTATCGTCATTTTTTGTAAGCTTTTATATATTTTTATTTCACAATAATCATTATACTTTTTTTTAACCAATCGATTTAGAGTTGGTTTCCACAGGAAAAGTTTCCTTTTAAATTACAAACTGTATTTCGCCATAGCGTTTGCATTATGCATGAGCCAAAAACACAAAGAGGTATTTCCTTTGGCGTCCATTCATTTTCCTTGATTCGTTTTCTTGCGTTGGCCAAACAAAAGACTTAAGACACGAACTGGCGGCAAGTCTATGTGATTCTGATGCCTGCCTTCGTTTCCATTTACATTGCATTAGATTTTCATCAGCATGTCATTGTTAGAGTTATAGTTTTCCCCACTATGGCACACACTATATCATTTCCTGAACACACTTTATCACGTAACTCCCGAGGAACGCAAATTATGACATTCGCACACTTTTCGCTTGCAACCACAATTATTTACTTTGGATTTCTTTCGCTTATTTCGGCGTAAATTGCAATTGTAAACACACACACTGGGCCAAAGGTCACACACTATGGGGGAACCATTTAAGATGGCCTATTGGGCACCTATTAGCACCTCGCTCCCCAGATTTCCAACTCACTTCTCAGGCGTGTGTTTTGGTGACGACGGTGACTGGCGAATCTCTCGCGTGGAGTGACTTGGCGTGGAGAGGAGTGATGTTGACGGTCTCGAATTGATTCGGTTGAAAACTCAGCGGCAACTGAATTGAAATCGGGCAATTGGCTTTAAGTTATACTCGGGCTGAAAAGGAAACTCGCCGCTGCTGCGTCGCGTCGCTGCTTGGCCAGCACACACACACACCGGTCGCTGGTGTTCTGTGAACGTGTGCGCGGCCAGGTGTGTTCGTGCCTCTGCTTTCCGGGTTGCACTTACCCGTAAGATGAGCTAGCCCTCAGACAACGGCCTGCAAAACAAACAACAACAAAATAATAAAAATAAAGCTAATGAAATCACTGACCATTACACTCGAAATTGAAGCCAATTAAACGGCACTTAAACATCTTCAAGTCGAGCAAGGGCACTGCTAATGGGGGCTCCCGGGCTCCAAGACAGTCTGGCAACCCTACCAAAAGTCCAATGCAAAAATTCCCCCTTGGCTGCAAAATATACAAATACAAAAAAAAATAATATCAGGAGCCCCGACCAAACCAAGGCCAGCCACTTGAGGTGGCCCTAAAAAACTGCATGTCATCCATGGCAGCAAAACAGATGCATAAAAACAGTGGAGCTTCTTATTTATAATTAAAATATCAAATATTCTAGGACTACAATAAAATATATACTCTATTGCGAAAAGAATAAAATTACTACAGTTTTAATTTCAAGAGTCCTGTCACAGGACTACAGTTCTAGAATGATATTTAGTTTTATAGGTTTATTTATACATATAACCGAGCAAATTACTTAAATAGTTATTTATGATGATTTCTAAATTGCACCAAAATAAGACATACATAAATTCTTTATTAAAATTTAATATAATTTTAAAATATTCTTACTGTAAAACTAATTAACTCCTAGTTTCTGCTTAGTTACATAACTTGACATAATGATTTGTCATCCTTTTTGAATCTCCACTGTACTGAAAACTCAGTCAACACACACAGGCACATTTGATCACTTAAGTGCATTCATGCAATTTTCGGCTGTAGAAGAGATTTTTTCCTCATGGGGGAACCTGATCCACGGCTGCTGCAAGTGGTGATAATGGTCAGGTATAAAAAAGTTGCCCCGTCAGGTGAGTTTGTACGGCTGGTCCAAGAGGGGGAGGAGGAGGAGAAGGAACAGGATCGCCTGGGGATTTCACAATCTGGTAAACAAAAAAAGCCCAAAGATGTCGTGATGAGACGACCTTGAAATATGGTTCAGTACTGATTCAGCATCGTCTCCGTTACCTTTTTTTGCTTTATTTATTTATATTTTCTTTCTGGTTTGTTGGCCTATGGGCCTTGCGGTTAATAACAGGCTTCCACGCAGTTCCATTTCATTTCCCTTTCCTTTTGATGACATAATTTGTTTTGGCAGCACCAACAACAAACACTCCGAGAACGCCCCTGATGCTCCCCAAAATTCGTAGTTCCACTCTAATTAATTCTGTAAACGCGAGAAAACTGTCTCGTCACCTAGCTCGACGATCTACAAATTGCTAAGTCGAGCTGGAGCTTCCCAGTTCCCGGCTGGTAGCTTTGCTTCTAATCAAGCGGAAGAGGCTCAATCACACACGTGGCTAACCATCCGAAAAGTGCCATGAAGTGGTCATTGCCTCTTGGAGCTGTGTCGAAACGATTTCAGAGTCTCCAATCGCAGCATAATCCTGTTTGGCTGCCATCTGGTTATAAAGCCAATCCTACTTTTTTTGGATTGCATAGAAGCAGCGTGAATACCTTTAACCTTTCTTACTTTTTTCTGTCAGTTCTTATATAGATAAAGAAACTAGTTTAAACAATAACGAATTCCAGGCATTATTTATAAGGCCACTAGAAAAGATATTTATGCTTAAATATGTCTTAAAAAATCTATAAACATGTTTAAGGTGACCCATTATTGTTTTTGCTGACAAAAAATGTGAGAATTAAACTAACATATTAATCTAATTTTTCATTTATTAGTAAAGAATAATGAAGATGACGATCAGAACTTGTAAATTCAATTGATTTAAGCTTTCTTACTTTCAAAACAAAAATATTCCATTGATGAATTTTAATCTATGAATATTTTTTAAATAAAACGCAAAATGTGTTTGTTTTCGTGTAAAATAAATGTGAGAATTAATCTAAAAACGGTTTCTGATTCTTTATTTATTAAGAAACTTTATCAAATAGGTCCTAATAAATGGTCTGGGGAAAATAATAAAATTTCCTGATTTTATTTATAAAAATGTTCATATACATATATCCTCTGTGGTTATCTTTAGAATCAGGATTGTTTTATTAGTTTACTTTGAATCTGTTTTATATATTTCAATTTATCAACTATATGAATTATCGAAAACTTTGATTTATATTCTCTACAGCCCTATTTGTCTCTGAAATCACACCTTCACTTCACTTCTCTCTTCTTTATATATTTCGATTGTGTTCATTTCCGATGAATAATCCAGCAATTATAAACAGGTTGCCTTCAGTGCATTATATACATATATCTGCACCGTGCTTTCAATCAGTCGCGGATCATTATGCAATTTTTTTTAGCAATTGATTACTTTTGAGAGTGGGCTAGGAGGTTTGCATCGAATAAAATGGATTTGCAAGAGTTTAACCCTCTTGGCCGGGATCGAATTGCTGGCCCGTCGCTATAAATCAAACATAATTGCAAATCTTGGGTCCCGGCTGCTGTCTAACTAACACAGCCGCTACTGGATACTATGAATAACGTTAAATATTTGTTATTTTCCGAGATTCGATTAACAGCTAAGTAGAACACACACAAAGGCTTGACCTGAGTCAACAGAGCAGCTTATACAGTCACTATATTCACAGCCATGTGAGTTGCACATTCCTGAAATGCATTTCTAGTGCTTTTATAAAATTAATAAAATTTTTAAGAGGAAGGGATTATAGTTTTCTCATACGTATTAATTCTGTGCTTTGCTAAATCATTCTAATAATTCTAAAACTTGGGATACCCAAGTCTTTTATAAAATCTATAAAAAGCTTTGTAGTTTTAGTTTTTATAACTAAACAAATATTAATTATTGAATTATTATTAATGAGTCAAATCCTATATCTTAGTAGCCAAATCGATACTACTCCCAGAAGCTTGTAGTTGTGAAACATAAATATTGTGCACTTATTTGTTTATCACAGCTTGGAGAGGTCGGCTTGGCATTTCTCATTCTGTTGTTGTTGATATTTACGCATATATATATTCATATATCGGCGCACGCAATATTGTCCACGTATCCGTTGCCTTTTCCAGTCACCGCAACGTGGGCTCGGCCATTAGGTTTTCCATTCAAAACAAGACTGCTGACGTAGATATATATATATGCTTAATTAGCTGGACTCACTCTCACCCGGCTTAGAGTAATTCCTAACCACTTTTACGTCGGGTTCTAGGCATACTATGTATGACAATTATATTATTGATCATTAGTATGGGCAATGATTATAATAACACCAACCAGAATATGCCTTGGGCTCTTGGGATTTGTTGGGATTCCTAGATCTAGTTAGGTTTCCTGTCCGCTTTGGAAGCGTTTAAGATGGAATTCACAGATTAAAGTTGATGAAAAATTATCGATTTATTGAAATGGAGCTGTCTTTAAGCTGCTGTTAATTGGTGCTACTTATTATATCATATTACTCTTTTATTTAGTGGCTCAATGGGTATATATATTATTCTTGTACAAAATGAATATGTTTCTAATGGTGGCTTCTAAAGAAGTTTTAAAATCTAATTTAAAATTATTCTTCAAATCAATGTGGTTTTTTCAATCAATTCACTCGGATGGGTTTTATGTTAAGTATTTTAGAAAATATTCACATAACGAAGACGTTATATGAATCGATATTTTAACGTTACGTTAAGTCAATATTTGTCATTACATTTTCCCTATTTCATATTCGAAAAATAAAATGATTTCAGTCTTAGTAGTCGTAATGGGTATTTCAAATTCCGATCAAATATATCTAGCCTCAAGCTAGTTTACAATTCCAATCCATTTAATTGGCGGGCGATAGGTTTGATGCCTTATTAAACAGTCGTCTAATCAATCCACTTTGTCAAGAATTATATTAATAATTAATGCAAGAGATACGGAACCACGCAAAGCATAGAAACAATGGAAATATAATTAGAGTCTCAGATACCAAATTAACTTCGTTAAGACAAAGGGTCAGAAAAGTTTAAGTAGTTTAACTAATTACTCGATTTATCCAATATAAATTACTCCTTATTAAGTACACAGGTCAACCGCAAGTCAAGAGATCAAAATTATAAAAGCAGAGTCCCAATCTAGTGTTACACTGACATCTGTATTAGCTGCAATTTTAACAATTACTATTTAATTATTTATTAATCTTAGTGTTCAACAAGTAAAATTGGCATTTATAAAGCAGTTAGCAGAAGTAAAAAATGTTTTTTAAATTAAATTTATTTGAATTCAATCGGTTGATTAAGGTCCTTGCAAAATCAGAGTGCATTTCTTAAAGTACGAAGCCAGGCTTCCTCCTTTCCTTTCCATTCCCTTAGTAGCTTCGTCCGAAGAGAGTGTAGAATTTGGGCTTGTTCGTGCAGCCGGGATTGATGCACTTATCGCTGGCCTTAATGGGAGTCGGCTGTTCGAAGGGGATGCACAGGGACTTGGCACCCATGGCCGGTGCTCCTGCCTCGGCCTCCTCGCCGCGGGCACTGTCTGCCTTGATTTTGTCCTCGCAGCTGATCTCGCCACAGAAGGGTGCCAACAGTATGTTCTTCTGCTCGAGGAAGTTGCAGAAGTCGGTCCAATTGGTCACGGTCTTGGTGTGACTGGTCAAATCCAGCTGCGCCTTGGCTAGCATACTCTCATGGATCGTCTCAAGCAAGGCGGGTATCTTCTTCTCAACATCGGCCAGCGGGATGGTGATCTTCTCGCCGGTGTCACGGCGAACGGCCACCAATTGCTGGGCTTTCAGGTCCTTGGGACCAACTTCCAAGCGAAGCGGTACTCCCTTCAGTTCCCAATGATTGAACTTCCAGCCGGGCGAGTAGTTGTCTCGGTAATCACCCTCGCACCGCACTCCGCCGCCACACAGACGCTTCTCCAGCTGCTTGCATGCGTCCAGCAGCTGCGCCCGCTCATCATCCTTGGTGTTAACAGTGATGCCGCAGGGCACAACGATGGCCTGGATGCAGGCAACGTGTGGGGGCAGCACCAGACCCTGGTTGTCCGCATGCACCATGATCATCACGCCAATGGTGCGTGTGGTTATACCCCAGGAGTTTTGGTACACGTACTTCTTCTGCTGCGTCTCGGGGTCCTCGTACACGATTTCGAACATTTTGGAGAAATTCTGGCCCAGGTGATGGCTGGTCGCACCCTGAATGGCTCGTCCCGAGGCCGAGATGAAGGCTTCAACGGTGGTAGTGTAGTCACCGCCGGCGAACTTCTCCTTCTCGGTCTTGCGGCCCTTGACCACAGGAATGGCCAGCAGGTGGGTGTAGACCAAAGCGTACAGATCTAGAATATCCAACACTTCCTTGTCAGCTTCCTCCTTTCCAGCGAATGCGGTGTGTCCCTCCTGCCAGAGGAACTCGCGGGTACGCAGGAAAGGCGTTGGCTGCTTGAATTCCCAGCGCTATAAATATAATAAACTTCATTAGAAAAAATTTATTTAGCGGTTCAATTTCAGATTGACTTACCACAACGTTGTTCCATTGATTAAGACGAATGGGCAGATCACGGTACGACTGTATCCACTTGGCGTAGGCGGGATACATGACGGTCTCGGAGGTGGGGCGCACGGCGATGGGCTCGGCCAGATCCGAGTCTCCGGACTTGGTCACCCAAGCCACCTCCGGGGCGAAGTCGGCAATGTGCGTCTTCTCCTTCTCCAGCACTGCCTTCGACACAAAGATGGGGAAATAGCATTCCTTAACGCCCATTCGCGTGATTTCGGCATCGAACCAATTCTTGATGGCCTTCCAGATGGCAAAGGACCAGTGGCGCAGGATATAGCAGCCGGACACATCGTAGTATTCGATCATCTCACCCTTGGTGATCACCTGCGAGTACCAGTCGGGCAGGTTATCCTCCTTGGTGGCCTCCAGACCCAATCGGGTCTGTTTCTTCACAGCACCAGCGGCATCGGCCACTGGCTCCTTCTTCGCGGGCTTGGCAGGCTTCGGTTGCGCTTCTTTGGGGGCCTTCTTGGCAGATCCTCCGCTGCCGCCGCCTCCTCGTCCGGCCACTGGGAAATCTGTACCCGTGACTTCCTTGTACTTGGCCTTAAGAGCCAGCAGTTTGGCCACCTCGGCATCGATCACCTCCTTGGCCGCTTTGCTGCTCTTTGCCGCACGCACCTTCTCACCCTGAGCATTGATCTCCTGGGTGAGCTCATCCTTCGCTGACGATGCCATCTGAACGGGGCTCGCTTCCTTCTTCACAGCAACTGGTTCCGCCTTAGAGTCTGGGGTCCAGTCCTTGCCGCTCAGTGTCTTGTATTCTGCCTTTAGGGCCAAGAGAGTCTTCACCTCCGGCTCAATAACGTTCTTAGCAGCCTTTTCCGACTTCAGCTGACGGATCTTATCACCTTGGGTCTGGATCTTGCCCAAAACACCACTGACGTCGCTGCTAGAATCTCCACCAGTGAGATCTACAATGGCCACTGGAGTAGGTGCCACAGTGCCTGGCTTCCACTCCTGACCGGTCAGGGATTTGTAGTCGGTTTTTAGAGCCAGCAAAAGCTTGACCTCGGCATCCACCAGGGATTTTTCCGATTTGGCCGACTTCAGTTGACGGATCTTATCGCCCTGTTGCGCGATCTTGTCCAGCAAAGTGTTTACAGCACCGACGGGAGCTGGATCCGCGTTCTTCTCCTGCTTGACCTTAGGTGGAGCCGCTGTGGCTGCTGCTGCGGGTGCTGGAGCTGTGGTGCCGGGCTTCCAGTCGCTGCCAGTGGCTGCCTTGTAGTCCGCCTTCAAGCCGAGCAGTGTCTTCACAGCTGCATCAACGGTGGCCTTATCGGCTTTAGCTGCCTTCAGTTCACGAACTTTGTCGCCCTGGGCAGTGATTTGGCTAAGGATCTGGGTCACCGAATCGTTTGCAGTCGTGGCAGTGGGTGCGGGCGGAACAGTGCCCGGTTTCCAATCCTGACCGGTAAGGGATTTGTACTGAGCTTTCAGTTCTAGGAGAGTCTTTACAGCGGCGTCGATCTCTGGCTTGGCAGCCTTCTTTCCCTTGAGGTCTCTAACTAGATCTCCCTGCTTCACAATGCTGGCATTAACCGAAGCTGCGTCGTTGGAGGAAGCAGTGGGAGCGGTAGCTGGTGCAGATGCAGGAGTTTGTCCTGGTTTCCAGTCCTTACCAGTGGCTGCTTTGTAGTCAGCTTTCAAAGCGAGCAGTTTCTTTACCTCCACGTCGATTTGATCCTTTGCTGCCTTCTTGGACTTCAAATCACGCACCACATCGCCTTGTTGACCAATTTGTTTGTCCAATTCGGAAGCCTTGTCGTTGGATTGAGCAGGTGAGGATGCCTTTTTCTGCAATTATTAAATGTTATATTTTAATAAATTATTAAACTTTCTATGCTAATTCAACGTCATCAGCTTTTAATTAAATTTTTTTATTTTTTGACTACGTCAGCAAGGGCGACACATGCATTTTTAAAAGCCTCTTCTTCTCGTATCTCTTACAGGTAAGGAAAAGAGCCCAAAACGAAAACGATACGCACGCTTGGTGGTTCAGCAAACAACTGGTTTTTGGCCCAAACTGAAGATTGTGGCCAAGCAACGCGGCACATAATTAAGAGAAAGAGAAAGAGCCACTGAGCACCACGAGTGAGCGAAGGTAAAGAGAGTGCTTACAAACAGCTGATTGGAGTGTTTATATATATGTAAGTTAAAAACAATAAGATAAGAGGTTTCACTCTCAGTCGAATTTAGAATACTCTCACATTTTATAGGAATAATTAAAACTAAGCTTCACTCACCGTAGTCTTGGCATCCGCTGGCGCATTGATCTTTAGGCCCGAGGTGGGCACATCCTTGGTGTGTCCATCGGGAATCGAGAACAGGACAATGGGCGAAGGAACATTCGAGTATGGACTTGGCGGGGCATAGGCATTGTCCACCTTGAAGAAGCCACGACGCTGCAACTGGATGATATCACCCTTTTTGCATTTCTTCAGCTCAGGATCGCCCAGCATGGCCACCTCGTCACGGGTCTTGTGTCCAATGTACTGTTTGAAGTCCTCGTCTTTGCCCAGAACAGCCTTGCTGATAATGTTGTCAAAGTAAACGCAGAACGTGGGCGGATAGGCACTGGCGTCGTCTTCTACAGCCAGCCAGGTTAGCTTCAGTGTCTTCTTAAAGTCCTTGTTTTCTAGATTAAGAGCCGCGTCCACGGAGGTGATATTGCCCGACGCATCCTTGTGCACCTTCTTGATCAGGATGTTGCCCCAGTTGATGAAAGTTGCATTCTCACCCTCCTTGAGAGCCTCGGCATCCACGTAGTCAATGTAGATACGAGGACCCAGCAGAACAGTCTTCTTGCCCAGAGATTCGTCCTTGGGATGAACGGACACCTGAATCTTCTCGACCTTGGCACCGGCCACATTAACGATCACGCGCTTCTCCTTCTCCAACGCCGTATAGCGAGGAGCAATTGGATCGATCACCTTCTTGTTAAAAGCCCAAATCTTGTCCCAGTTCATGAAGACAACCGACTTGCTGCTGCCCTGGGCAATGATGAACTCCTTCAAGCCCTCCACGGTCATGCCACGACGAATGATGCCGCGCACTGTGGGGAAGCGGGGATCGTCCCAGCCATCAACCAGGCCAGACTCCACAAACCAGGTGAGCTTTCGCTTGGATAGCACCGTGTTGGTCATGTTTAAGCGACTATACTCCCAGATGTAGGGCTTCCTCAGCTTCAAAGCATCGATGAACCAATAGAACTGATCGTCACGATCGTGGTACTCCATGGTGCGCAGTGTGTGGGTCACATTCTCGATGGCGTCCACAATGGGGCAGGCAAAGTCGTATGTGGGATAGACCCTGAAAATAATAATTATATTGCACGTTCGCCTCTTCAGTTGTTTGCAAAACTCACTTGTATTTGGTTCCCGTGCGGGGATGTGGCTCATTCTTGCAGCGATAGATAGTTGGATCTCGCATGCAGCCGTTGGGCGAGGACATGTCAATCTTGGCGCGCACGCAACACTTCTGACCTCTCTCCGACCCCTTCAGCATTTCCTGCCACAGCGAAAGATTCTTTTCGACGGCTATAAGGGTAAGATAAATAAACTTTAGTTAAGAGTTAAGGCCAAATATGAAATCAACTTACAGTTTGATCGATTGGCCGACTCGACGCGCTGTTCGCGCTCCAGCTTCATCTGCTCTGGCGGCGTGTCGTCCACATAGGCCTTGCTCTCCTTTATCAGCTGAACGCAGTAGTCAAGCATCAGGTCAAAGTAGTTGGAGGTGTGCGTAAACAGGTCTGGCTTGATCTGCAGCTGCTCCAGGTCGCCGAGAATAACATTCTCGAACTCGACCGTCTCCTTGGCGGGATTCGTATCGTCGAAGCGCATGATGAGGGTACCTTGGAAGGCCAAGGCGTAGTACTGGTTCAGGAGCGCCGCCTTGGCGTGGCCGATATGCAGGTAACCGGAGGCCTCTGGCGGGAAGCGGACGACCACCTTGCCCATCTCCGCTCCGGGCAGTTCCACGAACTTGCCCTCCTGCTTGCGCTCACCAGTCTTGGCCGGTGTCTGCTCCTTGGAAGCCTGCGGACTCCTCTTAACACGCGCACCTTCAGGCAGTGATTGGAGGACCTTCTGGATCAGCGGCTGGGCAGTTATAAGGTCATACCAGCGCTGAACATGTTGAGGGATGCCCTTGGAGGCCAGGAATTCGTAGCGCGAGTGCATCTCGTTGAACAGTGCAAAATCGGCGATAGTTAGCTTATTGGCCACCAAGTAAGTGACAGGGGCAATAGACTTGTCCAGGAACGACAGCGCCCAGGAAATGTCATCCTCGCAGGTCAACGAGAACGAGAGCCAGTGGTCGATCTGTGTTCGCTCGATGGCCGTCTCTCCGTACAGCTTGTAGTCCGGTGCGGAGCGCGCCAGGGCGCGGAGCACGTCGTTGTTGGAGTGGCAGACCAGCAGGCGGCCATCGGGAAACTGCAGCGAAGTCTCCTCCTTGCTCCACACAATCTCCACGGGCACCGTGCCATTGATAAGGTGCGCCGTCGCCAAGCCACCTACATACGTAAATGAGTCAATTAATATCACTCGATACGATACGAAACTGATGCAATATCACTGGATTCCTGATAAATTGTGTACATAAATAGACCGCCGGATATAACCTCACAACGTGCACCTATTTTCCGGGCAAAGAAGGTCACTGCAACCGGCCGCCTATATTAACTTACTTATGGGCGGGTTATTAAGGTTCGCTTTGAGCTTTATCGACATTGTCGCTGGATCTGGATGCTGCAACTCCTCTTGCAATTTCTAAATTCGAGTGATGAAAATTCCTCGCCAAAAAACGGCACGAGTACCGCCAGCTGCTACGTATAATAGAGATGGGATATTACTCTATACATTCCAATAGAGATGGGATACATTGCCTGCAGTTGCATGTCGATAGTTCGCTGTGAATGGCAAATATTGCACAGATGCAAGTACAGGGGAGCTCAACTTTGACAGATTTACTAAAAGTTATATAGCAATTAGTATTGTTAATTGACGTGTATTTATATATTTAACGATGGTTAAGTGAAGGGAAATCATTATAAAACTAAAACATATTAACCTAGTTAGAAATATATTAAATAAACAGGGAATTCAAAATGAGTTGCTTAAGATGCCCTTGCATGTTATTACATTTTACTCAAAATTTTGCAATGCTATGAAGGAACATTTTTAGACCCTATAAACTATATATATTCTTGATCAGCATTAAGAATCTAGTCAATCTAGCCATGTCTGCCCCTCTGTCCGTCCGTACGCAAAATCTTAGTTTAGAAACAAGCTAAATAAATTAATATTTGTATTTACTCTTCTATATACCTTATATTTAGATATATACTCTATATATTTATTTTATATACATAAGTCAGAACGGCTCTGATCGGTTGACTATATCTTATAGCTGACGTACATAAAAAAAGCGGAAAATAACTGTTTTTCTGTCCGATTTTGAGCAAAAATCTGAATGAAACAGATACAACAATTTCGGCAGCACACATCCGACGAGCAGTTTTTTTTTGTTCTCTTTTGCTCAGCTCATTCTCGAGCCGTTTTTTTGCTTGATCGACGCATGGAAGTGTGTATGTGAAGTTGCATTCGTATGTATGTATGTATGTGTACGAGAAGTTTTGAGAGAAACGAAGTCGGCTGCTCAGAGCGAGAACGAGGATGCATGTTCTTTTTTTTTTGTTTCGCTAGCAGAGCTAACGGATAAAACGTATAACAGTTATTTGCAAGCTATGTGAAAGTGAGTCACGAGCTCCCGTTTGTATGTATGTATGTATGTATGTTTTCTCTCCTGCACATTTTATTACCCCATTAGTTTGGTGTTTTAAGAGACCCTTTTGGCAGAGAGCGTATCTTTTCCTTTAAACATTAACATAAAAAACAAAAATTAATGGCCGACCTGCAGTCTATTTAATTATTGAATTTGAGTTTTTCCTGTATTTACACTGAACTTCATAATACATAGTATTCTATAATAAATCAAAATTAGTATTTAATAAATATAATTTTAAAATCGGGGTTTTATATTATGATTACCATATTATATAGCTGCCATAGGAACGTTCAGGAAATAAATACAACAAATATTATAACATCGGTGGTTTTCAATATATGTACATATGTATGTATATATTTTCATATTCTTTGAAAAATGTAAATACATTTTCGTCTTGATTTCAGAATTTTGTTTATAATTTTATGAAAATCGGATATAAATGTAACTATAAAACTGTTAATGTAATTTTTATAGGTAAATGTTAAAACCGATTCTTGTTGTACTTGTGTAAATGTCATATACAATTTCTGTTAGTTTTTCTTTTCATTTAATCAATTTGTAAAAGGGTAAAAGGACAGCTTCAGCCTGCCGAAGTAAACTTCCTTTCTTGTTTAAAGAAGTTTTTTTAATTAACAGAAGTATATTTCTTTATTAATTTAATATATTATATATTATTATATATAAGACCTTTTAAGCAGTGATTACTGTTCTATCCATTCACTGCTCACTACGTTTGCCATTCACGCTCACACGTTGACAGGTGCAGTGCGAACGGCAGCACTGCATGAAGAAGATTTTTTATGTGTGTTTTGCTCAGATGGAAAAATAAGTTTTTCGTTTATATTTTGTACACCTAGTCCACGAAAAAACTCAAACACACAAAGAAAAAGCATTGGCAATGGTGAGGTTTATAAAATTTAATGTAAAACCGTGATTTATTAGTATATTGGAAGCGGTATTTTGAGTGGCTCTAGGTTGAAATACGTGTGTTTGCGTGTGCACCAGTGTGGGTGCGCTCGATGACTGTGTCAGTGGAAATTCGGGCTTCCGTGGCCCTCAAAGATATGAAATATTGATTAGGTTCGCTTAAGTAAATCACATTCCGGGATGTTCTTTGCTTCCAGATGCTCTTCATGCTGCTTTTCAGTCGACAGGGCAAGCTGCGGCTTCAAAAGTGGTACATGGCCTATCCGGACAAGGTGAAAAAGAAGATCACCCGGGAGCTGGTCACCACCATACTGGCCCGCAAGCCCAAGATGTGCTCTTTCCTAGAGTGGAAAGACTGTAAAATTGTGTACAAGAGGTGAGTGGATTGAAATTTGTATGTTCTAATTCCAATAACCCCATTTATTGTTGCCTTTTTGCAGATATGCCAGCTTGTATTTCTGCTGCGCTATCGAACAGAACGACAACGAGTTGCTGACACTGGAGATCATCCATCGCTACGTCGAGCTGTTGGATAAGTACTTTGGCAGCGTAAGTGAACTCCTTAAGCCCACAAGAAAGGGACTTGAAAGTCTACATTTCGCATCTTTGTGATAGGTATGCGAGCTGGACATAATCTTCAACTTTGAGAAGGCGTATTTTATCCTGGATGAGCTGCTAATTGGCGGCGAGATCCAGGAAACGTCCAAGAAGAACGTACTTAAGGCAATCGCCTCGCAGGATCTGCTCCAAGAGGTCAGTACACCCGAGACATATGATCTGTAATGCGTAAACGGTTGTGTCACTCTCTATACCTATGCCGGATATTGTTAATTGTTTTACATATATATTTATTCAACTCGCTGGTTTTTAGTTTCGTTACCTCGTTCGTTAGTGTTTGTTTGCATCTCTATATATATTTATATGCCTATCTATAACGTCTACAATGTCATACCTCATGCGCATTTCACGGATTTCTCTTTATACTTTATACTCTACTCTTACCTTACCAACTTCTTGTTCTTGTTTCTCTAATTTGTGCAATCGAAACTAATAACTAAACACCTCTAACCACCCTCGAAGCAAGAAGAGTTCTTTTACTCGCTGCAATAGAACCTAAGTCCAGTGTGCGTGTGTGTGTGTGTACTCGCAGCTGTATTGTCATTAACTTTAAGTTCTGAATCTAATGTTTAAAAAGAAAGAAAAAACACCCAAGCTCGCACACACGCACACCAGTCAACAAGCAAACTGTTTATTTGTCATTGCATGCCGTCTTGAGTTGCGAAACTTGCCTACACGTCTCGAAAGCGAATTGTGAATTGTGAGAACTTACCTGGAATTATTTGATGATCGCCACAGTATTGAACTTGCCATAGATGCAGCTGTGCAGTAAACTTTAAACCTAATTAACTTTGTTTGCCATCCGTTGTAGTACAATTTGTAGCCTTTTTTGGTTTCCTAATCCAATTTGTAGTCAGATCTCCCGATCTTTAGTTGGCTTGATTACTTTGCATGACCTTTGTAGCTGAATTACTAACTAGATACGACGATATATACTTGCCATACCATATATACCATATTTTTAAATGTGTAACCCATGTACCCTTTCTCTTGTTATTATTAACGCTTACCCTACCCGCCACTGCATAAATCGATGTTAACACAACTACTACTACCACCACCAACCAACCACCAACAACCACAGGACTTCAATGAGTATCTCAACTAAATGATAAAAAAAGAAAAGAAAATACATAAAGCCCAACCCAAAGAACCAGTGTAAAGAACATATAAAGTAATATCCCCCATCTGCGAAGGGTCTTAGTAGTGGAGTGTCGATAGGTCAGATCAGTCAAACCTCCGCCCAGCTGTACATAATATGTCTGTGTATATTGCCCAGCTTCCATTCCCCAGCCTTCCCCGCGCTGCGCTGTGATGTTCATCCATATATGTACCTACTATATGCATTACGTGTTTCCAAGTTGTGCCGTAAACGAAAGAAATGCAAAACTAATTTGAAGTTGGTTTCTTTTTTGGACACATTCAACTACTTACATTTACACCTACTACTTGTACTACCACCAAACACCACTACTACTACTACTACTACTACTACTTTTTTTCCTTCTATTCTACTCTTCTCGTTCTTATTGTTCTTATTCTCTGTACTCCAGGACGAAGCCGTTGAGGGCACTTTAAGAGACATTGGACTCCTCTAAAGAACTAGAACACCGTAGAACTTATGTAGTTGATATTACACGCACACCCAGACACCACAAGCACACACCACACTTATACACCCCAGATACTTCTCAAGCGACAATGTGTGCTGCACTTGGCACTTACCAACACTGCTCTATCCACTTCGCAATAATATAGTGTGTATTTTGGCTGTTGTACAGCACTGAGGCGCTAAATAAAACCAAGTAAAACGAAGCAACGTGAGGCTTAGAAAGCAATAAATCCCACTAGATAGTAACCTCCGAGCATCTGGCATGCGGTTTTCCATACACACACTCTCGCAAAAAAACACACAAACCCACAGATAAATAGATCCAGCAAAGTTCATGCAAAACAAGCCAACCTCACGTACTTAGTTCCTTCCGGGGTTTCCTCAATTCAATTAATATTCTTCTTCCTATATCTGCATTAAAAAATCGAAAGATCATTCCAATCAATCACCAAAATGGGCAATAACTAATTTAGTTAGTGGGGAGATATATGCAATACTATTCTTACCATAGAAACAAGTAAGCTTTAATGTTGAATTAAAAAAAAAAGATCGATTTATAATTGAAAATTGTAATAATCATGCCTTAGTGGTAACCGAATAAATTCTAGTTTATGTATATCTACAATTATATATATATGTTTATGTATGTGTGTTGTACGTTTTAGCCAAATTTTCCGTGTTTTGTAAAGAAAAAATTTTAAATAATAATAAAAACAAAGTATTTTCCCAAAAAATAAGAATTATAAATGTAATATGTATCTTATGCCATATGTATGCCTAGTATGATAATGGTAAGGACGTAAGCTGGTGATCGTCAGTTTGTATTTAATGTAATTGTGTACTCTTCCGTAATTAATTATTTATGACTGTTGTTTTGCTGTTGTAACTGACC